ATCTCACACGTGTGTGAATACTCAATAATCCAGCTTATGAACTACAAAAGAATCAAAGAAATATATCTTTAACAAAAAATAAAATCCCCAAATCATAAACAAATTATAAAGTGTGATTCCAAAGCAGTGGAACTCATTTCTGGGTGGCTTCTGGCACCAACCTGGTTACTTTAATGCCACTTCACACATACTGTGAAGACGCGTTCTTTCCAAGATGAGAAAGCAGCGCAGGCTCACACAGCTGACATCAAACAGGATTTTCAGCAATGCCAATTTGGGGTCCTAAATGTCTTCAATGAGAGTGACGTTCCCACATTTTCCCTGCAACCACAGTCTTCCACCCTTGTGTGCCCACCAGACTGATCAGGACCCATGACTAAGCCCTGCTGGGTACACGCACTGGTGTGAGCTAGAGACAAGGACCTTATGAAGCAGCTGCTCAAAGTTGTAGGTTTTCTTTACTCCTCCAAGAAGTTACCGAAAACTCCCTGCAGGTGTGGCTTTTGCAAGAATTAACAGATTTTAAACAGCTTTTTTTCTGCTTCACTGCCAGAATTCAGTTGAAATATATTTTTTGACTGTTGACTTAAATGGAAAACAAAACCGAACCAAAAACTAAAAGAAGATAGTGGGACTAACAAACAGATGCAGGAAACAGGGTAACAGAAAAAAGCCTGGAGAAGAAAGTTAACATCAATAACATAGCTCAGATCAGGATGACTATACTACTTGGTTAGTCATGTTCCAGTTACTCACAGTGAACCACCCAATGTTTAATGAAAGTCACCACTACAACTAAGTCAACATGCTAAATGTGATTCAACCTGTGTTTGATGTGAACTTATCAGCCTGAATGTACCGCAGGGTTTTCTTGTATTGTGCTGGGGGGACTATATAAGCTACTACACTTGCTCGATGTGAGGTACTTCCTGTGCACACACTAAAGGTCCCTGTGTGGGTTTCCCAGGTGAAAATGTTTATAACAGAATAAGGGCTATGTAGGAGGACAGGGGAGGCTCACTAACACGGAAGGGCTTCCTCAAAGTGGTGAGCAGAGGATGAACAGGCCAACTTATGCATGCGGTTCTTTGGACAAGGCAGAGTGGAACATGTTTACGTGGGAATCTACCAAGTAGCTGTGCACAAGGTTGAGATGGAATCTCCAAAGACACTTTTTGAGACAGGGTCTTGCTCTGTCACCCAAGCTGGAGTGCAGTGGCACAAACACGGCTCACTGCAGCCTTGACCTCCAGAGACCAAATCATCCTCCCACGTCAGCCTCCTAAGTAGCTGAGAGTACAGATATGTGCCACCACACCCAGCTAAATTTTTTTTTTTTTTTTTTGAGACAGTCTCACTCTGTCACCCAGGCTGGAGTGCAATGGCATGATCTCAGCTCACTGCAAACTCCACCTCCCGGGTTCAAGCCATTCTTCTGCTTCAGACTCCCAAGAAGCTGGGACTACAGGCATGCACCACCATACCCAGCTAATTTTTGTATTTTCAGTAGAGATGGAGTGTCACCATGTTGGCCAGGCTGCTCTCAAACTCCTGACCTCAAGTGATCTGCCCGCCTCGGCCTCCCAAAGTGGTTTTTTTTGGTTTTTTGGTGTTTTTTTTTTTTTTCATTTTTGTAGAGACAGTGGTCTCTCTAATGTTGCCCAGACTAGTCTCAAACTCCTGGGCTCAAGCAATCCTCCTGCCTAGGCCTCCCAAAGTGGTGGGATTACAGGCCTGAGCCATCGCGCCTGGCCCAAGACACTTTAAATTCTCCTTCCTTCTCCTGGGGATAATTTTAAATTCTCTAGCACTATTCTCATGTAAGAACTGTACAAATTTTTATTATAGATTTTAGCTGAGTTGTTCTCAAATATAAGATCTAGTGATTATTATCTACAGACATAGATTTTATGTTTATTATGATTACTCACCATTTCCAATGTTTGTCCATGTCAGTGGATCCATTATAAGTTCTAAAGGTAACAGAGACTGTGTCTGCTGAACTCTTTTTGTAAAACACCCAGAGCTAAGCATAAAAATGAAAGCTATAAAAGGTACTTTTTAGGATGCTATTTAGAGCACTTAAGAAATGTTTTTCTGTTTAACTTTTTAACTTTTAAAAATATATAAGCAAAATATTTTTTTAACTGGCCATGGTGGCATACACCTGTAGTCCCAGCTACTCAGGAAGCTGAGGCAGGAGGATCGTTTGAGTCCAGGAGTTCAAGTACAGCCTGGGCAACATAGCAAGAGCCCCATCTCTTATAAAATAATTATAAAACTTTTTTTTTTTTTTTGAGACGGAGTCTTGCTCAGTCGCCCAGGCTGGAGTGCGGTGGCGCGATCTCGGCTCACTGCAAGCTCCGCCTCCTGGGTTCTCGCCATTCTCCTGCCTCAGCCTCCCAAGTAGCTGGGACTACAGGCGCCCGCCACTACGCCCGGCTAGTTTTTTTTTGTATTTTTAGTAGAGACGGGGTTTTACCGTGTTAGCCAGGATGGTCTCAATCTCCTGACCTTGTGATCTGCCCGTCTCGGCCTCCCAAAGTGCTGGGATTACAGGCGTGAGCCACCGCACCCGGATATAAAACTTTTTTTAATTAAAAATTAATGAAAGAGGCCTCTGGGCCTGGCCTCTTCCAGACTTCACACCAGGCCAGCCTCTTCCCTTTGCTGAGTTTATCTCATATCCTCTCACTGGAATAAATTACAGCCACACGTACTCTTATGTTGAGTCCTCCTAGTTAATCACCAAACTGGGGGTGGTCTTGGGAACCCCCTACCCAGTTACTTAAAAATAAAGGCAGCCTTAGGCAATACAACCGGAAATCTAGTGCCTAAATGAAATCCCGTTTTTCTCTATATTGTTCAGGCTATACCTGAAATCCCACAATCAGTGCTCAGTGTCACTAAACTACAGCTGAAGGAGCCAAGAATGTTTTGCCTAAACAGAAACTTACGGAGACAGGAAGGAATTTTCTTCAAAAGCTGAATAAAAATGTAAGCATCCAGCTCACACAACAGCAAGTTTCTTCTGCCTAGAACTACTGAAGCAGAAGCTGGATGGTTATCTTCCAAGAATGACAAAGAAAGATTCCAATCTGGGAGGGCAGGGTGCATGATCTCTCTAAGACCACTTCTATCTTTAAGATTTACGATCTGGGCCGGGGGCGGTGGCTCACACCTGTAATCCCAGCACTTTGGGAAGCTGAGGCGGGAGGATCACGAGGTCAAGAGATCAAGACCATCCTGGCCAATATGGTGAAACCCTGTCTCTACTAAAAAATACAAAAAGTAGCCAGGCATGGTGGCGGGCGCCTGTAGTCCCCAGCTACTCGGGAGGCTGATGCAGGAGATTCGCTTGAACCCGGGAGGTGGATGTTGCAGTGAGCCGAGATCATGCCACTGCACTCCAGCCTGGCAAAAGGGCAAGACTCCATCTCAAAAAAAAAAAAAAAAGATTTATGACTCTAGCCAGGGGCAGAGGCTCAGGCCTGTAATACCAACACTATGGGAGGCCGAGGCAGGCAGATCACTTGAGGTCAGGAATTAGACTAGCTTGGCCAACATGGCGAAACCCCTTCTCCACAAAAAATACAAAAATTAGCTGGGTGTGGTGGTGCATGCCTGTAATCCCAGCTACTTGGGAGGCTGAGGCAGGAGAATCACTTGAACCCCAGAGGCGGAGGTTGCAGTGAGCCGAGATTGCGCATGACTTCAAGGCACATAAGCAAGATACAAACAAGTGAAACAGGCTGGGCGCAATGGCTCATACCTGTAACCCTAAAACTTTGGGAAGCCAAGGATGGAAGATGGCTTGAGTCCAGGAGTTCAAGACCAGCCTGGGCAACAGGGCAAGACACTGTCTCTACAAAAAAATTTAAATTAAAAAAAGAAACAGGCTGGGTGTGGTGGCTCATACCTATAATCCCAGACTTTGGGAGGCCGAGGAGGGCAGATCATGAGGTCAGGAGATAGCGACCATCCTGACTAACAGGGTGAAACCCCATCTCTACTAAAAATACAAAAAAAAAATTAGCCGCGCGAGGTGGCGGGCGCCTGCAGTCCCAGCTACACGGGAGGCTGAGGCAGGAGAATGGCGTGAACCCGGGAGGCGGAGCTTGCAGTGAGCCGAGATGGCGCCACGCCATGGCACTCCAGCCAAGGCGACAGAGCGAGACTCTGTCTCCAAAAAAAGAAAAAGAAACAATTAGAAAATATTGAAATACCAAGACATTACAATGTGCAATACACAGTGTACAGGAGTTTAGTGAAGGGAAATATTAGAAGTTGGGAAAAAACTTGATTGAAAACGTGGCATTTTCCCCGGGTGTGATGGCTCACATTATAATCCCAGCATTTTGGGAGGCCAAGGCAGGTGGATCGCTCGAGCTCAGGAGTTCAAGACCAGCCTGGGGAAATGGTGAAACCCCATCTCAAAAACAAAACAAAAAAAGATTAGCCGGGCATGGTGGTGAGCGCCTGTAGTCCCAGCTACTCAGGGGGCTGAGGTGGGAGGATTGCTTGAGCCCAGAAGGTGGAGATTGCAGAGATGTTTCCTGAAAGATCGTGCCACTGCACTCCAGCCTGGGCAACAGAAAGATACCCTGTTTCAAAAAAAAAAAAAAAAAGTGGCATTTTATCTTGACACAAAGAGAAAGGCAAACTTCAGACAGGTGGAAAAGGGCAAAAGAGCACATAAAAGATAACATGCAAAATCTCAAAGACAGAAACGAGGACAGCACTAATGAAAGCCAGTGAAAAAACAGCCTTGTCAGAAGGTGTGATTTCTAAACGGTTAGAAATAAGCCAGCTGGAGAGGTAAAATGGGACTGAGTCGGAGCAGGCTTTGAAATTAGCAGAATAGTTTGCCTCTTATGTGATAGGAAACAGTGAGCCATTTCAGAGTCCTAGGCAAGCAAAAGATACAAAAAAGAACGTAAGAAGAATCTAGGGGTGGTCACGGTCTCCTTCGATCCATCCCAGCTCTTTGTTCTGCTTACCTCCACAGGCAGCTCAACTGACGTGTTAAAAGCACTTGGGGTCCACTGCTCAGAGATACTGACTTTGACATTGCTAAATGTTTTTCGTGAAGCATGGAGCAATGAATAACTACAAAACAGAGAGAATACAGATGAATGAATAGCAAGGAGAAACGGCATTCAATAAAATCACAGGTATAAGCCCATTTCTTTTATTCAATTGTGTTTTATTTTATTTGGGGGACAGTCACTTGAACCAAAATAGATTCAGAGAGGCTCTCTCAATTTTATTTTAGTTTTTGAGACAGGATCTCCCTCTGTCACTCAAGCTGGAGTGCAGTTATGATCATAGCTCACTGGGCTTGACCTCCCGCGCTCAAGCGAACCTCCCACCCCAGCCTGAGTAGCTGGGATTACAGGCGCACCCTACCATGCTCAGTGCACCTGTAATCTTAGCTACTCAGGCTACAAAAATTTCTGTATTTTTTGTAGAGACAGAGTCTTGCTATGTTGCCCAGGATGGTCTCAAACTCCGGGGCTCAAGTGATCCTCCACCACTTGGCCTCCCAAATTGCTGGGATTACAGGCATGACACTGAACAATTTTAGAATTCTTCTCTTTTTTTTTTTTTCCTGAGATGGAGTCTCGCTCTGTTGCCCAGGCTGGAGTGCAGTGGTGTAATCTCAGCTCACTGCAAACTCTGCCTCCCAGATTCAAGCCAATTCTCCCGCCTTAGCCTCCCAAGTAGCTGGAATTACAGGTGCAGGCCACCATGCCCAGCTGATTTTTGTATTTTTAGGAGAGATGGGGTTTCACCATGTTGGCCAGGTTAGTCTCGAACTCCTGACCTCAGGTGATCTACCCGCCTCGGCCTCCCAAAGTGCTGGGATTACAGGTGTGAGTCGCCATGCCTGGCCAAGAGTTCTTCTCTTTAAAAAAAAAAAAAAAGATGAGCCAAGCATGGCAGCTCACGCCTATAACCCCAGCACTTTGGGAGGCTGAGGCAGGAGGACTGCTTGAGCCCAGGAGTTCAAGACCAGCCTGGGGAACATAAGAAGACCTCATCTCTACAAATAATAATAAAAAAATAAGAAGCCAGGCGTGGTGGTTCATGCTTGTGGTCCCAGCTACTCAAGAGGCTGAGGCAGGTAGATCATTTGATTCCGGGAGTCAGAGGCTGCAGTGAACTGTGATCACACTACTGTACTCCAGCCTGGGTGACAGGGTGAGATCCCATCTCAAATAAATAAATAAATAAATAAATAAATAAATAAATAAATAAATAATCATTATTTCTGGTGTCTTTCATAAAGATTAATAATAAAATCTACTCAGCAGAAATATTAAAAAAAAGCTGAGTAACAAGGTCACTTATAGCACGCCTCTAACACCCAATGGCCTGAGGTATGTTATGTTTCTAAGAGAACCGCTTACGATCACCTTTGTTCTCCAGCTCCTGGTTTTAACAAATAGAGGACTTCTCTCTCCAAACAGAGTGATGAAAAGAAGTGAGATATGTTGGCCAAGCGTGGTGGCTCATGCCCATAATCCCAGCACTTTGGGAGGCCAAGGCGGGCAGATCATGAAGTCAGGAGATCGAGACCATCCTGGCTAACAGTGAAACTGTTTCTATTTAGTAGCCAGGCACAGTGGCACGTGCCTGTAATCCCAGCTACTTGGAAGGCTGAGGCAGGAGAATCACTTGAACCAGGAGGCGGAGGTTGCAGTGAGCCGAGATCAGGCCACTGCACTCCAGCCTGCGCAACAAAGTAATATTCCATCTCAAAAAAAAAAAAAATACAAAATAAACAACAAAAAAAAAACAGACCAGGGCTTCTCCGCCTCCACATTATTGACATTTTGAGCCGAAATGTTCTTTGTTGTGGAGAGCTGTCCTGTGCATGGGAGGACGTTTAGTAACATCCCCGGTCTCCACCACTAACTACAAGTAGCATTCCTCCCCGCTCATGACAACCAAAACTATCTTAGACACTGCCAAATGTCCTCTGGAGGGCAAAATAGCCCTCGAGAACTACTATATTAGAGCTATCAAGACTACCACAGAAGGAATAACTAACATTATAAGTGTAGGCCCATCAGTGCATTTGACACTTGCCATGCAATAGCTCCCTCAAAAGAAAAAAAGCAAAAAAAGCAGGAGAGCAGCTTTAGCAACATGCTTACCTGAAGAAGGTGAGCAGGAACACTACAACGTGATGATGGCTGAACCGGGACAGCAGAGACCCTCTTTGAAAAACACTTGGCCAGGCCATGTTCTTCCTGACCTTCCTTCTCACCTTTGACCTTAAAGTTTGGATAGTGAGTGATTTACATCATTTCTTCTTTCTGGAAAGAAAAAACACATCATGGACATTATTAAACCTCGGCAGATTATCCAAAAACTGAATTATTTCGATTTATAGTCACCATATAATCAGGCCTTGTGGGAAAAAATCTCATGGCCTAGTTGACACCAGAAAACTGGATTAATAATTATGTTAAAGGTATTAGGTAGTCCTTTAAAAAAAAAAAATCCTGGACAAGAGATTATATCTTAATAGAAAGAGCTCATACAAACTGATAAGAAAATCACTCATTCTTACAGAAAAAATGAGCAAAGGAAATAAACAGACAACTCAGAAGAAATGAAACGGCTATTGAACTTAAGAAATCAAAGTTCAATCCCACTGGTAATATTAGAAATATAATTAAGGCAAGAAAACATTTGGATAGTTAAAAAAGATTGTGCTCAATGCAGCTGAGGGTATGATGGTTCCTGAATTCCCATACGCTACTGAAAGAAGTAAAAATTAGTATAATATTATGGGAGGACAATCTAGCCGTGTTCATCAAGAGTGTTTGACACAAAAATTCAATTTCTGGGCTGCTCTCTCTATGGAGTGCTGTCCTTTTATTCCTTTACTTTTGAATAAACTTGCTTTCACTTAAAAAAAAATGTATTTCCAGGGATCTATTCCTTAAAAAATACAAGATGTGTTTAGGCCTATAAAAAGTATTTTTCACAAAGTGTTGGAGGAGGTTTTTTAATATTAAAAGAAAGAAGGAGCTGGGCACAACGGCTCACACCTGTAGTCCCCCAGCTATTGGGCAGGCTGAGACAAGAGGATCCCTTGAGTCCAGGAGTTCGCGGTTACAGTGAGCTATGATCACGCCACTGCAGTCGACCCTGGGCAACAAAGTGAGACCCCTGACTCTAAGCAAAACAAAACAAAATGATTCAAGACAATGTTCTACACGATCTTCTATTGCCTTGAGGTGAGGTCCCAGTGCAAGACTCTGGGCAAACTGCCTAACCCCTGTCTGCCCCCCAGTATCCCCTCAAAATGAAAAAAAATGTGTCAGTCAACGAAACAGAGAAAGAGGTCGGGCCATTCCTTGCCATCTCCTTCCACTACTTCCAGCAGCTTTTTTTTTTTTTTTTTCTTTTTGAGACAGGGTCTCACTCTGTCGCCCAGGCTGGAGTACAGTGGCACGATCTCGACTCACTGCAACCTCCGCTTCCCAGGCTCAAGCCATTCTCCAGCCTCAGCCTCCCAAGTAGCTGGGACTACAAGCATGAGCCACCATGCCTGGCTAATGTTTGTATTTTTTGTAAAAACATGGTTTCATCACATTGCCCAGGCTGGTCTCGAACTCCTGAGCTCAAAGCAATCTGCCCACCTTGGCCTCCAAAAGTGCTGGGATTATAGCCATAAGCCACTGTGCCCAGCCCCAGTGTCTTTTCATTTGACTGTACTCTCTAAAAGCTGCACCCATTCTCTGATATCCAAGAACAATTAAGCATAGTGTAAGCAGCAAAACTTAATGTCTCCAGTTATGAGTCTGCAGAACCAATTTAAAGATACAATAATAGGGGAATAATTAAATAAATTATGGTATGTCTGAATGGCTGAATCATTCATAATCATTTGCCATGAAGACCTTTTAATGACATGAGAAAATGTCAAGTGAAAAAAAGTGGGAGCTGGTTATGGTTATAAATGTAATCAACTCAACTGTATTTACATAATACAAATAAATAGGGAATATACCCGTTCTCTCTGGGTTGTGAAGTAATGGATAATTTTAATTTTCTTCTATATACTTTTTTCTTAAAAAGCCTACAATAAACATCAATACAATTTTTATAATGGAAACACCCACAGCATTAGGAAAGTACTATAATTTAGGCTGGACATGTTGGCTCCTGCCTGTAATCTCCACACTTTGGTAGGCCAAGGCGGGAGGAACACTTAAGCCCAAGAGTTTGAGAACAGCCTGGGCAACATAGTGAGACCCCATCTCTACAAAAACTAAAAAAAAAAAAAAATAGCCAAGCATGGTGGCTCGTGTCTGTGGTCCCAGCTACTCAGCAGGCTAAGGCAGGAGGATCGCTTGAGTCCAGGGGTTCAAGGAGGCAGGGAGCTATGATCGCACCATTGCACTCCAGCCTGTACCACAGAGTAAGACTTTGCCTGCCCCCTGCCAAAACAAAAAAAGTAATGTAATTTATCCTCATATTCAGGGGAAAGAAATCCATAAAATGGCTTGTATGATAAATATACAACAGTGGTCAAGATAGGGAACACATGCAAGAGCTCCCAACACTCAAGAGAGAATCACAGGGCTTGGCTCTCAGATCTATGTTCACTGGAACTGTTACACTACTTATTTTCACTAGCCACAGCTCAATAGATGCGCCCAAGCCTTAAAGGCTAAGAGATCCAGCAGAAAGGCCATTCTTGCAACTTGCAGATAAAAGAAATAAAGTTGAGGTGGTTACAATTATGTACACATAACAGTTGTTTTCCTTACTGGCTGTGAGCCCTGGGACAGGTCATGCTCTATAAATCACAAGTGGTCATCCATAAAACGGCTTATCTCATTTGAGAGCTGTAAGGCTAAAAGTAACAATGTATGTGACATATTCAGATAAATTATATTAGCCACTGATCTGCCAAGGATTAATTCCAAATCAGTAGAATTTAGCTAATTTCATTTTAAAGTCATTCTTCTTGGAAAATGTTAATAAAATTACGTGCAGAGTAGGACAATAAAATTCCACTCACAAAATGTAAATAAACTTCCTGTCTATAATTCCAGGAAGTTACAAAAACAAGAGCTATTAGTGTTATGACTAAATTTACTTCCATCCTGAAAATTAAACATGAAACCCAAGTGGAAAAACTCAAAACTTTAATCGTTCTCTATGAATCGTAGCTCTTTGAACTGGACACTTTCCCACCTCAAAACACTGTAGTATGTACTCCAGGAAAGGGCATGGGATATGAAATTCAATAATGTATCATGTAAAATCATAATTCCAAAAATAAATGCTCCAACAGATTGAAATTACAGCACATTGGCAATAGAGCTGCATAGTCTAAGGCTGCACACTTGTATTAGTAGCTTTAAATAACTACCAAGATATTTGAGGCCATTTGGATTTAGTTTCTAAATAGACGATCTTTTCTTAAGTTACAATGATTGGGCAGAAAAGGCTTAATATGCACATTGGGCAAACAGGCTTTATTTTATTCTTTTATTTATCTATTTTTTTCTGAGACAGAGTTTGGCTCTGTTGCCCAGGCTGGAATGCAGTGGCATGATCTCAGCTCACTGCAACCTCTGTCTCTCAGGTTCAAGAGATTCTCCTGCCTTAGCCTCCCAAATAGCTGGAATTATAGGCGCCCGCCATCATGCCTAGCTAATTTTTGTGTTTTTAATAGAGACGGGGTTTCATCATGTTTGCCAGGTTGGTCTCAAACTCCTAACCTCAGATGATCTACCATCCTTGGCCTCCCAAATTGCTGGGATCACAGGCGTGAGCCACCATGCCCAGCCTGATTGATCGATTGATTGACTGATTGAGACAAGGTTTCATTTTGTCACCCAGACCGGAGTGCAGTGGCACAACCTCAGCTCACTGCAGCCTTGACCTCTCAGGCTCAAGCAATCCTTTGGGAATACAGGCGCACATGCCACCACATCCAGCTTATTTTTTGCATTTATGTTAAGTCGGGGTTTTGCCATGTTGTCCAGGCTGGTCTTGAATTCCTGGCCTCAAGCAACCCTTCCACCTTAGCCTTCCAAAGTGTTGAGACTACAGGCGTGAGCCACCTCACCCAGGAAAATAGTTGTAAACATTCACCTGCTGTGTGCATAATGACATTTAAGATAAATACTGTAACATTTGATCCTATGCAATAGTAATACCTTGCACATGTATCCTACCTATCACAGAAGTGATTGCCAATCATTCATGAGCTCAGGGACCCTGGGGTGTACAGGAGTTTGTGTCAAGTCTGAGTCCATCAAGCACGTCCTACTTTTTGAAGAATAATCTCTTTACCACTCTAAATACACACTGAACAAGAGTGTAACATGTTTCAAGTATGTGTAAATGCTGTTATGATTAATAAAACCAAATTTCAAAACCAAATTTCATTTGAGCATTTCTGAATTCATTGTAGCTTATCATTTAGTATTTTCTCAATAGGTGAATTTTTATTTCTTAAAGCCGACAGCACCGGTATTCTCAGGCAGTTTCCCAGCCAAGCACTAACCAGGCCCCACCATACTTAGCTTCCAAAGACCGACAAGGCAGCCCATGTTCAGGCTGGTATGCAGGGATGGTTGCAGACTCTATTAACAAATACTGAATACACAATTATCAACTGATAGTTGACAGCAACAAGATTTCTAACATTAGAGTATTTTTATTTGACAAATAAAATTGTATATATTTACCATGTACAACATGTTTTAAAATATGTGCGCATTGTGGAATGGCTCAGTCAAGCTAGTTAATGTATCCATTACCTCACCTACTTATTTTTTGTGGTGAGAAAACTTAAAATCTACTCTTTTAGCAATTTTCAAAATAGAGTACATTGTTATTAACTACAGTCACCGGTCGGGCACAGTGGCTCACAGTGGCTCACAGGCCTGTACATCAGCACTTTGGGAGGTCAAGGCGGGTGGATTGCTGGAGTTCAGGGGTCTGAGACCAGCCTTGGCAACACAGCAACACCCTATTTCTACAAAAAATACAAAAATATTAGCCAGGTCGGGTACAGTGACTCACATCTATAATCCCAGTACTGTGGGAGGCCAAGGCGAGTGGATCACTTGAGGTCAGGAGTTTGAGACCAGCCTGGCCAACATGGCGAAACCCCTGTCTCTACTAAAAATACAAAATTAGCCGGGTGTGGTGATGCACACCTGTAATCCCAGCTACTCAGGAGGTTGAGGCACGAGAATCACTTGAACCTAGAAGGCGGAGGCTGCAGTGAGCCGAAATCATGCCACTGCACTCCAGCCTGGGCAACAGACCAAGACTCCAT